AAATTGAAAAGTATTTTAAAAATTAATCATTATTATTATTTGGTGTCATCTCACACGTTCGAATAATCATAAATTGGCAAAGTTTATTATCCTATTCAAAATGGCAGTACGGCTGGTTTTCAATTAAATCAAACAAAAACTTTTTTTTTTTTGTTTTTTTTTTTTTTGTTTTGTAAATATAACTCATCTCAACAAATACTTTACAACTATTCCTAATTATTATTATTATTCTGCACACAAATAATAATTTTTTTTTTTTTTGTCTTTTCTTCTTTTTATTCTTTTTATTTAACTGTAAAATTATTATTATTATTTTTTTTGAGGTAAAGAAGTAAAAACCGCGAGGGAAAAGAAAATTTTTTTTTTACTTCAGGATGAGTTTCAATCATCCTTAATATTGTTGTTGTTTCCTTTGAGATCTCGATATAAAACAATTTTCCGTTGCCTTTGATAACTATGGTAGACTTTACACGCAAAGGACCGTATTAAACGTAAAAGAAAATTATAAAAAATGATAATAATGATTTGACGAAGAAAATTTAAATGAAAATTTTTTTAAAAATGTTTACGTGTTTATGACTAGTTAATTGTTTTATCCATTCTATCCTCAAATTTATATACATACTGAAAAAAGGCAACAATTATATATAATATTGGTCGGTTAAATCCTTCAAAAAAATTTATATCCATCGAAGTCTTCGAGAATAATTCATTCATTCAATCATTCAATCAATCAATCAATCATTCCTCTTCGTTAAATCTACGCTGTTTCCTTATATGTTTCCCTCTCAAAGACGCGCGCGTGTGTGTTTGTGTTGTATCCATTTTTTTCCTTTTATTTCCATTCGATTGAATTCAAAAAAATTTTTTTCTCGGAAAACCACATTTACTACCTTTGGATAGCTGAATTTAATAAAAAAGGAACGTAAAACATTTTACTTTCTAACAACAACGATGCCGCCGATTGTATCTGAAACAAGCAAACATGAAAAAGTTTTTTTTTTTTGTTGGCAAAAATCTGAGAAAAAAAAAAATGTCGGCTGTGTTCGTACCTCTGGCAATCTAAGTAGTAATTCGTGAAACCTCGCGGGCTGCTGTGGAAAACTGTGCTCGACAAAACTTTTCAGGCACATCATATACCGATCCTGGATTGCTTCCAATTCGTTTGAACCTCCTCGACCTTGATTCAACATTGTTATTACTTTAAGGCAAACATATTCTTCCATTCTTAATTTAACACGTCGAAACATCAACGTTACGTGCGTTATTTTTTCCACCATCAAACCGACATCTTGTCTCAATTGATCCATAGTTATGGGTCGTCCCATCATCGAAGTCAAACACGTTTGCAATGTGACAAGATTATTCGAAACCTGTCGACAAACAAGTTCAACAAAAAAAAAAAAATTATATAAATTTTCACCGACGCCGTCACCGACACCGCTGCCTCGGATTATTAGGTAAACATAAATTACTTCTTGTGTGAAATCCGCTTCCTGTCCGGCCGTGCTCGTGCTCGATAGTTTATGAACTCCGTGTATCGCCTGATATGCAGAAGTTGTTAAAACAAGAAGTTCGTGCCACTTGTGTGTGAGAAGTCGCGTGTGAACTTCGACCGGTAATTCCAAATAAAAAGGAAGTCTTTTCGTCCACTGTACTAATTTGTAAACTATAGAATCTCCTATCTGACATAATTTCTCCGAGAGATCCGATTTGTGATCTAATAAGTCTTCCAAATTCTAATAAAAAAACAACATGGATGTTTTTACCACCGTGGAATAAAGTAAATAAATGTTAATGATAATGATAATAATAGTAAAACAAACCCTCAAAGTCGCTATATCTTGAAATTCATCACAGTCAACAAGAGCTTGAATCATATTTAGAATTGTATCTAAAGGAAAAGTTCTGTCTCTTGAAGAACTAACTGTATTATCTAATCTTTGTCTCAAGTGAACCACCTAAATAAAAACAAAAAAATCCTTTTGTTTACATTTTTAACCTTTCCGTTAGAAACCCGTGGGGAGGACGCGGGGGATTTCCCCGGTTTTAAAAAAATTCTTGCTTTGTTGTCATCTCCGATGAGCGGAAATTTTTTTTATAAAATCTGTTAAACAAGGAAGACTTTTTTTTTTGGTATTTTCTTTTTTGTGTTAACTTTTAACAATTAATAATAATAATAACTTTTCTTTTACGATATTGCAAAAAAAAACAACGACGATGACAACAACAAACAACAACTTTCTAATGATTTTTTTTTTTGTATTGGAAAACGATATTTTTTTTTTTGCTTCCCTTCTTCCTCCTACCTTTCTCTTCTTTTCTTTTCTTTTTTTTTACAAAAAAGGAAATTATTATTATTATTATTATTATTAAATACGTGTTGTTGTTGATGATGAATTATATCTAAATTTTTTTTCTTTTTCTTTTACGATCCGTTTAATTTCATTCGAAAGAAAAAAAAAAAAATTACCAAAAAGAAAGTTAAAACGAATAATAAATAAATAAATAACATTTATTATTATTATTATTATCAATATACTTTTGCACGTTAACAACAACTTTCACTTTCTTTTAAAAAATTTTTTCTCCTTCCTTTTTTTTACATCTTTATATCATCGTGTTATCATCATTACACGAAAACAATCAATCACGTACCCCCTCGAGGAAATTTTTCTTTTTTTTTTTACAAATGCGGATGTTGTGAAAATTTTATAATAAACGCGTTCGATATAAATAAAATTTTCCATCACAACAAAACAAACGGTATTAAAATAATTTAAAAATTTACAATCGATTATATATTATTTATAAGAAGAAAATTGTCGACGTCATTTTTTTTTACGCGGGAAAAAAATAATTTTTGAAAATGTACAAACGCACGTAGGTTCGATAATGCAGAAAAAATATTTAAAATATTTTTTTGGTAATGACGTAATGAAATACGTTCAGAAATTTCAATTATTTTCCCGGGGGATTTAATACAAAAAAAAAAAAAAACCCTTTTGATTTATTTATACAATCTCGTTTAAATTTTTGTTTTGTTCTTCCCCTCCCCCTCCAACCTTTCCCCCGTTAAGGTTTTTCATTATAATTTAAATCTTCATAATCGATAATCGAGGAAAAATGGCGACGATTAAATAACCGTCAAAATGATTTAAAATGAAAAGTGAAATTTTTTTTTTTTTTTTTTTTTCATAACCGTTCGAATTATTCGAAATTATTATTATTATTATTATTATTATTATTATTATTATTATTATTATTATTAGCATGACCGTTTCCGCTGTCGTTTTAACAAAAAAAAATTTGGCATTATTTGGTTTTTTTTTTTTACAAGTAAGCGGAACTCGAGTTAGGTTAACCTTTAACGATCTGTTTCACTTTCACTCGACGACATTGACGTCGTCCACAATGTAACACAATCGATGGTGCAACCATCAAAGAACGTTGAACTCATATTTTCCGCCGAATAAATTCTAAAAAAAACTTATTTACCAATAATAATTTTATTAAAGGTACCTTTTTGTTACGTGACTATTAATTTTCTCGTTTCGCGACGAATGTTGGTCATGGCTGTTTTCCTTTTATTATTACTATCATTATTATTATTATTATTTGCTCTTTCTCACTCTACTCGTTTGTTTGTTTGTTGTTTGTTGTTTGCTTTTAATGGTCAATGTCTAAAAAAAATTCCCGCGGATTTATATACGTACGTGTAAACGATAAAGAAAACATAATTTTTAGCACACACGCGGTTTATTTTTAAAAAAAAACCTTTTTCCTCTACCCTACCCTTCCCCTTTCCCTCCCCTTTGTCAACGCATTATTATTATTATCAATCAGTTTTGACTTTTGCTATGTTATTGATAAAACTCCAGGAAATTATGCCAAAATTATTTAAATGGATATTTTGATGATCGATTTTATATAATTAATTCATTCAATAAAAAAAAAAGTATTTCAGGTTTTTTTCTCGCTTTCCTTTTTGACTAATAATAATAATAATAATAATAATAATAAATTGTTAAATTTTTCCGGCCCTTCAACGGGTCACGCGATAATTAAACAAAAACCTACTAACTAACTAAAATAATCAAGTGAGTGTAGTAAAATTTTCTTTTGATTTTTTTCTGATAAATAAATAATAATAATAATAATATTTAAAATTGCGACGACAAAAATCCCCGGTGTATGTTTTATATATACATTTTACATTAATTAGAAAAAGAAAAAGAGGAAAAAGAAAAGAAAAACTTACTTCACTTGGATTTGTTAGAGCAGTCTTGAGTATGGTACCATTTACGATGTGTGAGGGGAGGGTTTGCTCGGATGATATGGAGCTTTTCTGTTGATTTCCTTTTTCGTTGTTGTTGCTACCTCCTCCCTTCATTTGTCCGTTTTTTGGATTTTTTTTATGCTTCTTATATTTCACCTTATTAAAGAAAGAATTTCAATATGTTAACAATTACAAAATTACATTTAAAAACTTATTATCTCTCTCTCGCATCTACCACAAGCAAATCAATCGATATATTTTCAATAGGTAACGTTAAAATTATTATTATTAATGCATAATAAGTCATGGAGGAGGAGAAAGAAGAGGAGGAGGAGAAAGAAGAGGAGGAGGAGAAAGAAGAGGAGGAGGAGAAAGAAGAGGAGGAGGAGAAAGAAGAGGAGGAGGAGGGAGTGTCGTCCTTGTTTCTTGACCGGTAAAATTTAAAATTTTGTATGTGTATGCAATATCAAATTTGAATCATTTCGATTGACTCACACACGTTCGTATAAAATCTAATATAAAAAAAAAAAAACTTGATACAAAGGAAAAAAACAAAGGAACGGAAAAATGTAAAAGGTAAATGAAAATAAAAAGTAAGCTATACCAATACCTTGTACAAGTTATAAACGGCTCCAGAATTTCTTCCTCCAGGCATTCGATCCTCTCGTACGGCTGCAATTATATAAAAAATAACAAGAAAAATAATTTAAGTGAATGTTTTTTTTCATTAATAATAATAATAATGATTTTTTTTTTTTTTTTTTAATTAAGAATTTTCCAACAGAAAAAAAAATAATAATAATAATTCCGTTCTTGTTGTTTTTGTCGTAGTCGTCGTCATCGTGAATCAACCGGAATAACATGATTTCATTTTTTAAAAAAAAAATTAGTCATGCTTTTTACAAGTAAAATTTTTTTAAATAAATAAATTAAATAATTTAAGTATCCTATTCATCGTTTTCCAATATTATTATTATTATCATCATTATCATCATCATCTTCTTCGATGTTTTTTTTTCTTTTCTAACGTAATAAATAATTTTTCTTTTTTAAAAGTGCACCAATTATCACGAGTATCGTATATATATACATTCAAGGCAATTTTTTTTTGTATACATCTCAATAATAATAATAATAATAATAATAATAATAGTAACAACAACTTCTTTTACTTACCGACGGAAAAATCCTTGTAACAAAATAAATAAAAAAAACAATACTTTACTCCGAAAACTATTAAAAAAGCATTATTAGAAAAGAAAGAGAGAAAAAAAAAATTTCTATAATAAATGATGGATGCACCTTAAAATACAGGTACCACCAACAGTAATGATAAAAAAAAAATAATAATGATAATATTGATTTTATGTTAATGTTGTCGTTATCGTTTACCCATTTTTTTTAAAATAATTAAAATGATTTATTCAAAAAAAACAGAAAAAATTAGACTTTATTGTCGTCTACCCGGTACCCGGTACCTCAACAACAAAACACATTTTAACAACAAAAAAAAAAAAAAACGTTTGTCTCTTACGCCGATACGCGCGATTAACTCTGTCAGTCTCCCTTTTTTTTTGACTCCTGCCACGATCATTTTTCCTATAAAAAAATCTCGTTTAAAATTATACAATGGTATTTCCGTTTCATTCCTGATTTAACAAATGAATCAGATTCTTGTAGAAAAAAAAATAATAATAATAACATAAAATAATATTTATTTTAAATAATCTCTTGCTTTGTCTTCTGCTCCTTTGTTTAAAAAAAAATAACCGTCGAATATTATTATTATTAATATATAAAACAAGGCATTAATTATTAATTAATTAATGATGATGCATTTTATTAATTTTAATTATTTTTAGATAAAGTGAAATAAGTAAAAATAGGGAGAGACATATGGGGGGTGGAGGGGAGGAGAGTGAGTGACGAAGGGGGGCGGATGTAGGTATAAATTAGGTATCGATGACGTAAAACGATTTTTTGGATATATAATAAGTTATTACGTACCTTGCAATACCATCCCTTGTTCTATGCATTTTTTGAAACGGCAATATTGACATCGATTCCTTTGAGCTTTTGTTATCTCGCAATTTCCATCCGCAACGCATGTATAGACTCTTCTATTCTGAACAGTTCTTTTGAAGAATCCTTTACATCTAAAACAACACCCAAAACCCTTTCCTTGTACCAAGATAGTATAACAAGAATATTATTTACCATTCTTCCACGTCAATTTATATATATAAATAGTAATAATATGCGTGTGAATGATGGTTTTTTTGAATGAAAAAAAAATTATCATTATCGATAATGAAACTTTTGATAATTTTTACCTTTATTTATTGTTTTCAACCGATTAATAATATATATTATATATTATCACTATTTAATTGTGATTCGAATATCGTTTACATAAATCGTTCAAATCGACAAGGTTAATAAAAAAAAACTTATGTATCGTTTGGTGTTGTTAGAAAAAAAAGAAAACAAATAAATTTGATAGTTGGGTTTTAAAAAAAAATAATTAAATTGATTTCATTCACGATGAATGAATGAATGAATGAATGAATGAATGACTGAACGTAAAAATTTATTTTTTTTTTATTTGATTATGAATCACATTTGTGTCATTTGTCGTAAATTTGTCTCAAAGAATTTTTTGCTATAACGTTTACAGGTTGTTTTGTTTAATGTGTATACTACTGACTAACAGTGTTACCAACTTAAGGTTTCACTCGAAAGAAATTTTAATCTCTCGATGATTAGACAAACTAATTAATTTATAAAATAAAATGAAATTTTGTAACAAAACTAAAACAAAACAATAACTTTTTCTTTTTAAACGTTAAATATTATTATTATTATAAAATTACGTCTTTTAAATGAAATAAAATGTTTTCGAATCGTTGAAATGATTTGTGATCCGCGTTTGAGTTAAATAATTTATTTTTTTACTTATGTATAAATAATATTTTCCCGCCACCATAATTTTATTTTATATTCGGTTAAGTAGATTCATAGAAGGATTGATATATCCGTTACCGTTTTTTTTTTTGGGCTTTAGTATAAGAGAAGTTTTTTTTTTTTGGGGGGAGGAAGGCGGTCCTGCGGCGAGATTTTTTTTATACTTTATTTATAAATATTCACGTGTGTGTTATTGTAATTAATAAAAATATATATTTATTTTCTTACCCTTCGCACGTGATAATGCCGTAATGAAGCCCTGTTGCTCTGTCTTCGCATATCATACATATCATTGGCTGTTCGTCGTCTTCTGGATCATGTTTGGGTTCACCGATTATGGTTATTCCCTGAGGTCTACCATCTCGAGGCCAGTCTCCGGGTGGTAACGCTAAATTCAATGCTTGATTTTGTTGAGAAACGGGAAGTTGAGTGAGATCGCCAGCCCATAATCTTTCCATATTTAAAGGCTGTGAATAATGTGTGCCGTGTTGCTGTTGAAGCTGTTGCGGTTGTTGATGTTGTTGTTGTTGTGGCGGTGGTTGCTGCTGCTGCTGTTGTTGTTGTTGAGGTGGGTGTTGTTGTTGCTGCTGTTGCTGTTGTTGTTGTTGTTGCTGCTGTAATTGTTGACGTTCGGGTTGACCGAGATTAAGTAAAAGTTGCGCCGCTGATTCTTCACTACTATTACTACTAGCACCACCCGCACTAGATTGCGGCGAAGTCGACCAATTTATAGCTGAAGTTGACGCAGCCATATTTTGATTTTGGTGATCCGCCGGTGAAGATGGATTGGGCTGTGACCAAATCATTGTACGAACTCCGCCGGCCTCGCCCATGATGACCGTTGGCGTTTGTCTCGTCATGGTCGGAGTTCCGGGTGTGGAAACCGGTCGCGGAGGTTTCATGTCAGAGTTTTGTGAATTTACGGGAAAATTCATATTAACATTACCTCCGATGAGTTCGGGTCTCACACCGTTTATTCGACCACTCGCCGCGGAATTTACCCAAAAAGCTCCCGGAGATATCATGTTCAAAACGCCCCCAGAAGTATTTTGCTCTCCCCCGCTCATCGACCTTTGTATCACCGGACTTCCTTTTTGAATTAAGGGACTTAATCTTTGTTGCTGTTCGGGACTGAGTCTCACTCTGGGTTGCTGATCGGGACTGAGTCTTAATCTGGGTTGCTGATCGGGACTAAGTCTCACTCTGGGTTGCTGATCGGGACTAAGGCGAATTCGAGATTGTTCGAGACTTAAACGTAATTTTAATTGTTCAGAAGTCACTCTGGGATGCTCGGGACTAAGTCTAATTCTCTGTTCTGGGCTACTACGAATTCTAGGCTGTTCGGGACTAAGTCTTACCCTTTCGATAACACCAGGAGAATTTTGCTGTTGTCTTTCCACTATCACTCTTTCATTCTGTACCGGTAAATATTTAATACGGTCACTATTTAAAGAACTGTGCCATCTTTCCGATACGGGATTATGCCATTGCCGTTCCTGACTTTCAATAACTGGACCACGATCACTTGTCATAACGGCATTCCGCCTTTGTTCATTAATCGCATTAAGGGATTGATTAGAATTATTCCATTCTCCTTCTTGTTTTATTTTTAATCCATCGTGAAATCTTTGAATTCTTGATTCTTGCTGCTGACGTGCAATGTCTTCTTGTTCACGAGTCAGAGCGTTGTCTCTGTCCCTTGACACTTGTTCAATTCTTACGTGATCTTGCGATCTTTCTAAAATTTTTTTATCAGTTATATCTTCGCGCAATATTTCTTCTTGCAGTCTTTTTTTATCATCATTTTCGACAAGTCGCCTTTCCTCTTGTTGCAATTGAGATCTTTGCTCTTGTTGAGCGACAATTTCTTGTTTTACTTTAATGTCTTTTGTGATTTTATCATCCGCCGCTCCTCCTGGTGCTCCTGCTCCAGATGCTGCTTTATTGCAATCATCCGTTTCGTTTTCTCCATCGTTTCTAGAAATTGTTACTTTTTTACTTTCGACAGACGACGTTTCCATTTTAATTATTTTTTTCTCATCATTATCATCTACATATTTATTTTTATCATCGTTTATTTCTTCTATTTTTCTATCGGTCCCTCCTCCGTCGAAAACACTGTTGTCTCCTTCTTCTTTAACAGATGGTGGATCACGGTTATCAACAGCTTTTCTATGATAGTCTATGTCTGGCGTCCTAAAACAATTTTTTTTTTGTAAACGAAAAGAAAAAAGGAAAAAATTTGTCAAACAAACATTTTTATTAAAAAATGGCAAAAATATACATAACTTATTAATATGTAATAAAAAATATGTTTCAGGAAGAGAAATTTAATAAATGAAAAAAAAAAACCATTAACTTTTTTTTTTTTGTATCCTTTTAAACTTTCTCTCATAATTTTACAACACCCTAACGTGTAAAAGTACACGTACGTATATATGAATACAATAATTACCTATTTCTCGGCGTTTCAGGTTCTGGACTTGGTGATGTCAATTTTGGACAAGGAGATGGAGGACCTGCCATATCTGGAGACGATGTGCTAGTTTCTGCAACACTCTCACCTGAAACAATAATATTTTATTTTTTGTTAAGTAAAAACAAGAAAAAAAAACTTTTAAAATATATATATAATTATGACTTACCGTCGCTGCTGCACCGTGAATCCACTTTGCGCCGCTTAAGTTTGAGGTCTTGAAACAGACTCATCGTGTCCAATTCACACGGATTTCTGGTGAGAGTCATAATTCCTAAAAAAAACAGAAAATTTTTTCTATTTACACTTTACCCAAAGACAATTTCTTTTTGGCAAAATAAATTTTAAAAAAAAAATTTAATAAACGATATCAAATTTAAAACAAAACAAAACAAAAAAATCTCTGAATCTTTTTTTTTCCCTTATCGATATATATAAATCAGGTCAAATTATAGTAATCGTTTGGTCGGTTGTTTGGTATTCTGAGTTCACGGCCGATTTCGTGTGATTAGAAAAAAAAAAAAAAAATTTTTATTCAAATTGTCATTAAAAATGAAAAAAAAACTTTTGCGACGTATTTAATAAACGTTTATGATAACACGTAAGTTTTAGATGCTTTAACGATAAGAGAGAGAGGGAGAGCGAGAGAGAGAGGGAGAGAGAGAGAGAGAGAGAGAGAGAGAGATTAAAGAGATGAAGTTAATTTATTTTTAAAACAAATCTCGTGTGTGTGTTTAAGGGTGGTTTTTTTTTTTTTTTTAAATGTTTTCTCATCATCAAATCTAAACTTTCTTCTTCTCCTTTTTTTTTTTTATTAAATTCATTCAAATATTTGTCTAACGGTACAATAAACCTTTTTTTACAGGTACAATATTCTTGAAAAGGGTTGAATTAATTATTACGAAACACCTGGTCAATGAATATTTTTTTTTTATTTAGATTTTTAACCAGGTTTGATTAACAATTCCCCCCCCCCCTTCGACAACCTTTTTTTTTCTCCAACGCATGAAAAAGGTTTCTCACAATACCTTCGAATCAAACATGAAACAATATGAAATAATTTATTCGCACAGGTGCAAGGAAGAAAAAGAAAAAAATCAAAAAGAAAAAAAAAGTTTCCTTTTTTCTCAAAGGAAACTTTTTTTTCAACTTTTGTCCCGAAATCGAAAAAGAAAAAAAAAACTGATAAGTTAATTCGGTCGTTAAAAAAAAAAAAAAAATTGGTAGGCATGTAGACAAATTTTTTAAAAAATGACGAATTTTTGACCCAGAAAAAAAAAAAAATTTTTTTTTTTTTTTCATGGAACTTTCGACTGCGTTTCATTATCAATATCAACTGATAACATTTAAATGGGTCAAATGAAACGAAATAAAACTTTTCCTTTCTACAAAAAAAATGTTTTTAAACTAAACGAAAAATTTTGCACGAGAGAGAGACGATTTTTTTGCCCTTCGTCGCCTTCTAATAATAATAATAATAAATAATTACACGGGAAAATAATTCATTTTCAAAGAATAATCGATTTCGAAAAAGAGGAGAAGGAGGAAACAACAAAAAAAATTTTTTTTTTTCCCTCGAAAAAAATTCCAACGGGAATTTTCTAAAAATTTACTCAAAATATTCATATAAACTTTTCTTTTACGTTTGTTTTTTTTTTTAAATTGACCTTAGTCTTCCACGTTTAAACAATGAATAAAACGTTCTTTTTTCATTTCCCTCATCATCGCTTTTCTTTTTTTTTATAAATCATTTTACGTTTGAGATGATTTCCGTGCCTTATACTTCACTTATCGATTACGTGTGATCGATTGATTATTAATTGACATAAGAAAATTAAGAAAAAAAGAAAAACATGAATGAATTTCAAATAAGTTTAATCCTTAGTTTTCCTTTGTACAATTCGATAGTAAAAATTCAAAATGTCGTTAAGAAAAAAAAACTCGGGAAATGACTATTTATGTAACAATATAAATTGAAAATCAACCCCCCAAAAATTTCCCCCCCTCGTTCCCCCAGTCCTCTCCCCGATTCGAAATCATCGTTTATGTAAAAAAAAAAGTAAAACAAAAGTTTATAAGAAAAAAAAAATTGTTTTAAAAACTTTTTTATATCAGTTTCTTTTTTTTTCCTTTGACAAAAAAAAAAAAAGATAAAAAAATTGAAATAGTTATCTTGGTTAAATAACATAACCGAAATAAATAAAAAAAAAAAAAAAAAGAAAAAAAAAGTGATTCGCTAAACGTGTATTATTTATATATAATTCAACGTCTGCTAAAAAAGTCTCATCCTTCGATGTACTTAACTATAATTACGTCACAATACTGACCTACTTTTCCGTCGCGGGTTATTACCCTTTGTTTCCTATCATCTTGTTCTATGGCAATTCTCTCCGGTAAGCAAAACACTAAAATACATAAAGTTCACATTGAAAAAACTCGCGCACGACACGAGTTTGTTGTTTACGCTAATTTTTCTTTTCTTTTTCTTTTTTTTTCACTTTTCAAATCGTCGTCGTCGTCGTCTTACGTAAGTTAAGCAACAGTAAAAAAAAAAAATACTTTCCCTCGTCTAAATAAATAAATAAATAAATAATTATTAAAAAAACGAGTAGTTTTGCGATTTCGATGTCATTGAAATATGTAATTACATCACACACACACATACACGTATGCTCGTGAACCTAAACTCGGATTCAAATGGCAATGTTACATATTTTTTTTATTTAAAAAATAAAATTTTCTTTTAAAATGGAAACCTAGTCATCTCAGGTTCGGAAAAAC